CTTGCATTTTCCTCTCAAAGGCACACAATTAGCATAATATAAATTCCCAGGAGCACTGGAAAAATGACACAAGTATTTAATAGATTAGATTAAATCTGAGAAAAATACATTTAATGGCATCTTTGTGTTAACTGATGTTTTATTTTTCTTTCTTTCTTTCTTTCTTTCTTTTTTGGAGATGGAGTTTCACTCTGTAGCCCAGGCTGGAGTGCAGTGGTGCGATCTCGGCTCACTGCAGCCTCCACCTCCCGGGTCCGGGTTCAAACAGTTCTCCTGCCTCAGCCTCACAAGTAGCTGGGATTACAGGCATGAGCCACCCTGCCCATTTAATTTTTGTATATTTTAGTAGAGATGAGGTTTCACCACGTTGGCCAGTCTGATCTTAAACGCCTGACCTCTGGTCCACCTGCCTTGGCCTCCCAAAGTGCTGGGATTATAGGCGTGAGCCACTGCGCCTGGCCTGTTTTATTTTTCATCCCACCCTACCAGTTACCTTTTCTCTAATATTCTGGGTAACCTTTTCCTGATTCCATAAAGAATATGTCTGCAGATAATAATAAATATGAGTAAAACTATGTAGCTAATTCTAGGTTACATTCTGTCTGTCCCTTTGCAAACTTGCAAAGGCCAATAAGAACTTGGGGAGTATTATTCCTTGTCTCTCTCTGTCCTCCCCCTTACAATTCTATTTTGACTCTCTTACTTTCATATACAGTTGATCCTTGAACAACAGGAGCTTAAACTGCTGGGTCCACTTACATGTAAAGTTTTTTTCAGTAAATACAGTCAGCCCTCCATATCAGCAGGTTCCACATCTACAGCCAAATGCAGATAGAAAATATGGTATTCAGTAGGGTGCAGTAGCTTGTCCCTATAATTCCAGGACTTTGAGAGGCCGAGGTGGGAGGATTGCTTGAGCCCAGGAGTTTGAGATCAGCCTGGATAACATAGTGAGACCCTGTTTCTAAAAAACAATTTAAAAATTAGCTGGGCATGGTGCATGCACCTTTAGTCCCAGCTATTCAAGGGGCTAGGGAGGATTGCTTGAGCCTGGGAGGTCAGGGCTGCCGTGAACCTGATTGTACCACTGTTCTTCAACCTGGGTGACAGAGTGAGATCTTGCCTCGAAAAAAAAAATAAAATAAAATAAAATATGGTATTCTTATATGTAAAACTCCCATCTACAGAGAGCTGACTTTTATATCCACAGGCAGTCCAGAATCCAGTCCTCTGAGGGACGACCGCACTGTAATCTTGTGCTCAAAACCCTCAAGGATCCAGAGTAATCTTAGGCAGCTGCATCCTGATGTCAGCATGCCAAATTTGGGAGAACTTTACTATTCCTTGTCTTGTGTATTGTCTGGTTAGGGAAGAAAAAAATATTAAGCAGAACTTGAAGTTCACTGAAAGGGTGTGTCCTTCAGAATGACCTCATTGCAATGTCAGGAGTGATTTTGCACATTATCCATCTCCTGGTTACATGTGCTTTCTCTTTTCTTTTAAAGAAGGCAGGGCAGAGGTCAGTTGTGCATTGAAATGTCATAACTCTGGAGTTTTGTTTGTTTTACTAGGAAGCTAGCAAAGACTGACTTGTAATTGGCAAGAATCACCTCTAGGAATAGAATTACAGAATTACATAATTTGAGATATTTGGGCTTTCTTACCCTAGAATATCTCCCAACCCACAGGATACTATATCTGAAAACCTCACTAAGGGTGCCTTTTCCAGGCACTAATTGATTAGTGTGTGTTATTTTTCATATTTTCTTCTCTTTCAGGCATTGAGGTGTTACACAGGAATAGACAACTTCAGAGCATTACTGACTGGGAAGGGCAGGCTTTAAAGAGGTATCTCATTTGGGGCTTTAGGAAGTGATATAGAAGCATGAGGCTACCGGAGCAGACATGGGATATTATAGAAAGGAAAGGTGTGAAAAAATGTGGAGGCGAGAGGGTGCAAAAAATAATCTCCATTTTATTTTTGTAATTGTAAATAGGAAAGAGTGACACAAGAGGAATAGTAGCATGGACATAGGAATGTATGATAAAGCTAAAGACTCAAACAATTAGCAAATTAATAAAATACATGGTTCCTTTTATGCTTATATCTAATGAATGATATCTTTTTATCTTTTTTTTTTTTTTTTTTTTGAGATGGAGCTTCGCTCTTGTTACCCAGGCTGGAGTGCAATGGCGCGATCTTGGCTCACCGCAACCTCCGTCTCCTGGGTTCAGGCAATTCTCCTGCCTCAGCCTCCTGAGTAGCTGGGATTACAGGCACGCACCACCATGCCCAGCTAATTTTTTTTTGTATTTTTAGTAGAGACGGGGTTTCACCATGTTGACCAGGATGGTCTCGATCTCTTGACTTCGTGATCCACCCGCCTCGGCCTCCCAAAGTGCTGGGATTACAGGCTTGAGCCACCGCGCCCGGCCAGATATCTTTATATCTTGACTGTATCTTACTTAGTGTGAGAACTTTTGCCTGAACCACAATCTATGGCAAGCAAGATAGAAACTTCAACTTGGAACTTAAAATACTTTTTTTCATGAGCACTAATAGCTTTAATCAAGGCTCAAAATCTTAAACCGTAAAACAGTTAGGTATGATAGTAAAATTATAAACAGGGCTAGATGTGGTGATTCAGGCTGGGCTCAGGGGCTCATACCTGTAATCTCAGCATTTTGGGAGGCTGAGGTGGATGAATCACCTGAGGTCTGGAGTTTGAGACCAGCCTGGCCAACATGGTAAAACCCCATTTGTAGTAAAAATACAAAAATTAGCAGGGTGTGGTGGTACATGCCTCTAATTCCAGCTCCTTGGGAGGCTGAGGCAGGAGAATTGCGTGGACCTGGGAGGCAGAGGTTACAGCGAGCCAAGATTGCGCCACTGCACTTTAGCCTGGGCAACAGAGCGAGACTCCATTTCAAAAATATAAAAAATAAAAATGATAGAGTAATGGTTCAATTAAAAATGACTGAAAATATTTAATTTTTTTTTTTTTTTTTTTTTTTTTGGAGATAGGATCTTGCTCTGTCATCCAGACTGGAGTGCAGTGGCATGATTTTGACACACTGCAGCCTCAACTTCCTGGACTCAAGTGATCCGCCCACCTCAGCCTCTCCAGTAGCTGGGATTATAGGAGTATGCTACCATGCCCAGCTAATTCTTGTATTTTTTGTAGAGAAGGGGTTTTGCCATGTTGCCCAGGCTTAATTCCAATTCCTGAGCTCAAGCAATCCGCTGATTTCTGCCTCCCAAAGTGCTAGGATTCCAGTCATGAGCTACCACGCCTGGCCAAAAGTGACAGAAAAGATTTATATGTGATCATATCATACAATTGCAATGGCAGTTTTTGGTTTGTGGCTCTAGTGATTATTTGCAGGCTCTGTGCTATTGGTTTTTTGCTTTTTTTCTTTTATTGAGACAGAGTCTCACTCTTGTTGCCCAGGCTGGAGTGCGGTGGCGTGATCTTGGATCACTGCAGCCTTTGCCTCCCATGTTCAAGCAATTCTTCTGCCTCAGCCTCCTGAGTAGTTGGGATTACAGGTACACAGGCCACCATGCCCATCTAATGTATTTTTAGTAGAGATGGAGTTTCATCATGTTGTCACGCTGGTCTCAAACTCCCGACCTCATGATCCGCCCGCCTTGGACTCCCAAATTGCTGGAATTACAGGCATGAGCCACTGCACCTGGCCTTTGCTACTGTTACATGGCGCTTTGTTTCTAAGAGCCACGTAAATACTTTGAGAGTACACCCTGTTTTTCAACTTATTTGTTCTTTCAGCTATTTTTGGAGTACTAACTATCAGATCCTGTTAGGTGTTAGAGATAAAATCTCTGCCTCCCAAGAATTCAGTCCAGTACATTCTTGGAGAATAGGTTTCCTGCTTATCAGTGAGTATATTCATGGCAAGGTTTCTTACCTCAGCACTTTGACATTTTAGGTCAGATTATTCTTTGCTGGAGGGCTTTCTTGAAGAGTGCTGTAGGATGTTTAGCAGCTTCTCCGCCTCTACCTACTAAATGCCAGCAACCACCCCCATCACCTGGCCCAAGTTGTGACAATGAAGTGTCTCCAGACATTGTCATTCCTGGAGGCAAATCTGTAATATGAACCAGAGTTTATCTGTTTGATTGACAGTGAGCTTTGATGAATGAGTTTTGAGAAAATGCATACAAAGCTAGCAAACATAACAAAGAAAAAACCTAGATACGTTGCACAATGCTTGTTATTACTCCACATGACTTCTCAAAGAGGAATTAGATAACAGTCATGCTGAATAACACCTACAAAATGTTTTATTTTGTAGCTTCGATGTCTATGAGATCTCTCTTTGTGTTACTATGTACAGAAGAATAATTGTTTGGTTTCTTAGGGACTCCACTAAAACAACAAATAATGTAAGTTATTGGAGGAGGAGAGTCTAACGCATAATAAAAACCTTAGTCTTTTCTGAGCTGTTTGTACCAGCATTTCCCTTTTCTTGTTAAGAGTGAAAGTATTTTCTCCAATGAGTAGCCTGGACAACTGGCATATTTAGAAATGTTTCCTACATTCTTCCGGCACATAACTTCAAATTTTGTTACTTTACTAAATTGGACTTTGCTTCACTTACTGCTTTTCCATGTTCAAACAACACATGAAGAACATTGAGCAACCAAAAATTCATTTTAATAGTCTTTTAAAGCTTGTCTTCCAATAATGCCTTGCTTCTCAAGGTAGAGGGTCCACTTTCCTGTTTTAAAGAGTACTTCCCTAGAAGTCCTAAAACCTGTATTTTATGTTCACCCTTGGCACTCTTGTTAAGTATTCATTTAGTCTCTCTCAGTCTTAATTTCCTTACTTGTGGTAGACTAGTAGATACAGAGATTCTTTTATCCTGTTTTCCTGATATGTTCCTAAATTCCATAAATCTACACTTGTTGCTCACATAAATTTTTATATATCGTTATTCTTATAGAATATCAACATTTCCATTTCTGTGCCTAATAGAGTTTTGATGCATCATGGATAACCTGTCATCAGAAGAAATTCAACTGAGAGCTCACCAGATTACTGATGAGGTAAATGTTTTACCTAAAATAAGTAAATAATTCTATTTCAGTTTTCATACTGGAGGGCTGAGAGAGCCTTCTTAGGGACCATTTTGGCCTCTTCCTAGTCTGTTAATATCAAAGAACACATTCGCCCCATAGTGCCATTGCTAGTTTTTATTTTCTTTTTAACTCACCAGAAAACTAAAGTGAAAACAATTTGTATGATTTATCTTTTTTAGGTAATTATTAATACTACTTAACAGTTATGTGAAACAAAGATACTGTAGTATGTATGTGAGAAATGCTAGACTTCTGTTTAACATTTCCTAATATCTGTAATTTACTTAGATTTCTTTTTTTTTTCTTTTTTTCGAGACAGAGTCTCACTCTGTCGCCGGGAGCCAGGCTAGAATGTAGTGGCGAGACTTCAGCTCACTGCAACATCTGCCTCCCGGGTTCAAGCAGTTCTCCTGCCTCAGCCTCCCAAGTAGCTGGGACTACAGGTGCGTGCTACCACGCCCAGCTAATTTTTGTATTTTTTTTTTTTAGTAGAGACGGGGTTTCACCATATTGGCCAGGATGGTCTGATTTCTTGACCTCGTGATCCACCCGCCTCGGCCTCCCAAAGTGCTGGGATTACAGGCATGAGCCACCGCACCAGACAATTTACTTCAATTTCTACCTACGTTAATTTTTTTTTTTTTTTTTGAGACACCATTTTGCTCTTGTTGTCCAGGCTGGAGTACAATGGTGTGATCTCAGCTCACTGCAAGCTCCGCCTCCCAGGTTCACGTGGTTCTCCTGCCTCAGCCTCCCGAGTAGCTGGGATTACAGGCATGCGCTACCATGCCCGGTTAATTTTTGTGTTTGTAGTAGAGACAGGGATTTCACTATGTTGGTCAGGCTGGTCTCGAACTCCTGACCTCGTGATCTGCCCACCTCAGACTCCTAAAGTGCTGGGATTACAGGTGTGAGCCACTGCACCCAGCCATTGCTTTGTTTTAAAGGGAGGGATGGGCTAGCATTTCTTTTTGTTTTTTCCTTTAAAGGAGACAGAGTCTCACTATGTTGCCTGGTTGGTCTTGAGCTGCAGTACTCAAGAAATCCTGCCTTGGCCTCCCAAAGTGCTGGGATTGTAGGTGTGAGCAACTGTGCCTGGCCTGAGCTGGCGGTTTTTTAAAATAGAATAGCATCATGAATGTGGCCTGTGATCAGATTTTTTTTTCCTACTTGTTTTGGAATGCTAAAACTCTGTGTTTTTTCCTAGTCTCTGGAAAGTACGAGGAGAATCCTGGGTTTAGCCAGTGAGGTAAGAAAGTATTAGTCATCAACTTAAGTATAGAAATTTCTAGGAGAGATCCTAAACCTCTGGCTGGAATTAGTGATAAAGGGTAATGTATCAATACACTTTATTATTTGAAATCAACAGTTGCTGAAATTGTCAAACCATGCAGTAATATGACAGGGATATGGAATATGATTGGAATATGACAGGGAAGATGAATTCACTATGAGTTTGTGACTTAACTATTTTGAGGGGCTAATATGTTAAAGTGTGTTAGTTTAAGCATACTAGTTCTGTCTGTAGCTCTAATCCTCTGAGAACTTAGGTTTCTAAATGATCCTGTCTTGCTATTTGTCAGCTGTTGTAGGTTTTGTTTCTGTTGTTTTTGGTTTGTTTTATTGTACTATCAGCCTTTTCCCCCCTTCTTTTAGTCTCAGGATGTAGGAATCAAGACCATCACTATGCTGGATGAACAAGGGGGTGAGTTAAATTATTAGCAGAAATTCTTAATTTGATTATGATGCCAAAAAGCTCTATCAAATTAGACACATATACATTTCAGCCTTTGGGAGGGCCTTCCCTTTGTAAAATAAGAATGCTATGTTTACTTCTTGTCTTCTGATTTGAATTATATCATGTTCACTGTCTATTTGGGATGGCAGGCAACAATGCGCAACTGTATATACCAAGTATGTGTTAGGCCAGCATGGCTTTTTGTGTGCATTGGTTATATGTACCTTAGACATTATGATATTCTTTATTTCTCTCTCTAGCTCTCTCTGTCTCTTTCTCTGTTTCTTCTTTTCTCCTTTCTTCCTTTCTCTCTTTCTTCTCTTTTTCTGGAGTTTCACTCCTGTTACCCAGGCTGGAGTGCAATGGCACGATCTTGGCTCACTGCAACATCCACCTCCTGGGTTCAAGCTATTCTCCTGCCTCAGCCTCCCAGGTATCTGGGATTACAGGCGCCTGCCATTATCTCGGGCTAATTTTTTGTATTTTTATTAGAGACGGGGTTTCACCATGTTGGCCAGGCTGGTCTCGAACTCCTGACCTCAAGTGATCCACCCACCTTGGCCTCCCAAAGTGCTGGGATCACTGGTTTGAGCCACCACACCCAGCCATATACAAGTTTCTTATAACAAATTTTTCCACAGCAAGAGGCTAGGTGCCTCATGATCAGTACATGAAAGATTATTTTCATGTTGAATAGCTTCTAATACCTTTTGACACTGACATATTCACTGTGAGGGGTTATTGGTAGATTCAAGGTTGAAGTTTGCTGCTTCATAATAATGGCATTTTCTGGTTGACACTGTGAATAGAACACAAAATGTAACTTCACAACTTATTCTTAGAACAACTAAACCGCATAGAAGAAGGCTTGGACCAAATAAATAAAGACATGAGAGAAGCAGAGAAGACTTTAACAGAACTCAACAAATGCTGTGGCCTTTGTGTCTGCCCATGTAATAGGTGAGTTGATAAATTAAGATGGTTTCAAAATAAATAAATGAGAGTCCCCCACTTTTTCCCGCTAGCTAAGGTTGGAAGTGTGTTTGTGCCTAAATGAGGAACTCTCAGATAAATTTTTTTTTTTTTTTTTTGAGACGGCGGTTCTTTCATGTTGCCCAGGCTGGAGTGCAATGGCGCAATCTCGGCTCACCGCAACCTCCGCCTCCTGGGTTCAGGCAATTCTCCTGCCTCAGCCTCCTGAGTAGCTGGGATTACAGGCACGCACCACCATGCCCAGCTAATTTTTTGTATTTTTTTAGTAGAGACGAGGTTTCACCATGTTGACCAGGATGGTCTCAATCTCTTGACCTCGTGATCCACCCGCCTCGGCCTCCCAAAGTGCTGGGATTACAGGCTTGAGCCACCGCGCCCGGCCCACTCTCAGATAAATTTAAGATGCCTCTCCTTTAGGAACATCAACTTCTTGTGTAAATAGTGTATGTTCATTGAAAACTGTGACTTACATTTGGCCAATCCTGGGATCGAGCTCCAATTTTAATTGGTAGTAATACATGAAAAGGTTGGGAAATATAGGCAAGTGTATATCTGAATGACGGAGAGCAGGATGGAATTATTTTCTTTTCCTTTCAAAGTACAAGTATTAACAAAATATATATTTTGTGGTAGGCACATGAGGTATGGCCAAAAAAGTAGAAGAGTTGGAAAAGAATGGCAAAACATAAAAAATACATAAATCGAATGTTAGGCCGGGCGCGGTGGCTCACGCCTGTAATCCTAGCACTTTGGGAGGCAGAGGTGGGTGGATTACCTGAGGTCAGGAGTTCAAGGCCAGCCTGGCCATCATGGTGAAACCCCATCTTTAAAAAAATAAAAAATAAATAAATTTTAAAAATAATAAATCTAATGTTAGATTATATGATGGTGACCAAGGCTAGGTATACAGAACTGATAAAGATTGGGCTGGAGGGCATCTTATAGAAGAGGTAGGACTTGGTTTGGGCTTTGAGTGATTAGAAGGATTTGATGAACCGGGAGGAACAGTGAGAGCATTTCCTATGGAAGGTTCAAAATAAGGATTAACAAGAAGTTTGACTTAACTGAGTCATGTGATTCATGTAGATGAGAATCGGAAAGTAAGATATAAGTGAGTAGTAGAGGAACTTGAATGCCAAACTAAGGAGTTGATAGATTGGAGTGGAGTATATGATTGCACATCAGGATTAAAAACCCTTGTAATCTAGGCCTGTGAAGTAAGACTTCACAGTGAGATTGGAGAGAAAGGTATAAACCAGAGAATTTATTTTAAATCAACTGATATAGTACATGAAACATGAAGAAGGAAGAATCAAAGAAGACTGAACATTTGGAGTCTATTGTAGACTAGGATATGAGGGGGTCTTCAAACCATCTGTGTATAGTGTATGAAATTATGCTTGATACAAATTGACTTTTTGGTGACTCCACTGTGAATAGTTAAATTTTCTACTTATCCTTGGATCAACCAAACTCCATGGTGTTAACGAATACTATATGTATTCAGACCAAGATGAGATTTGGACTAAGGTAGTTAACCATTATCTTTACTTCTGTTACAAGAAACTCATCTTTGTTTTTAAAAAGTAATTAACTGGGCCAGGCACGGTGGCTCACACCTGTAATCCTAGCACTTTGGGGGGCCGAGGCAGGTGGATCATGAAGTCAGGAGGTCAAGACTAGCCTGGCCAATATGGTGAAACCCTGTCTCTACTAAAAACACCAGAAAAAAAAAAAATAGCCGGATGTGGTGGTATACACCTGTAGTCCCAGCTACTTGGGAGGTTGAGGCAGAAGAATCGCTTGAACCCAGGAGGCAGAGATTGCAGTGAGTGGAGATTGCGCTCCTGCACTCCAGCCTGGGTGACAGAGTGAGACTCCATCTCAAAAGAAAAAGAATAACAGTGTCTGGAGATCGAATGACTATACTCACTGCTGAAAGTTTTGTTTTGTCTTTTTTCTGAGACAGGGTCTCTGTTAGTCAGGCTGGAATGAAGTGGCATGATCATGGCTCACTGCAGTGCCTTTTTCCTGGGCACAAGAGCTCCTCCTGTCTTGGCCTCCCAAAGTGCTGGGATTATAAGCATGAGCCACTACACCCAGCCAAAGTATTCGTTTTCATTTTTAAACAGCTTCTTAGACATTAGTATTTCATCCAGTTCTCAGCTGTTCTGGTAAACCAAGAGTGGTTATATTTTGATATTTTCAGATACGTGTTTTTATGTAACAGCATTTTCTGTGCCATTTCTACTAGAGAAAGTAGAGATTAATTGCTTGTCGGTCAGCTTCAGTGTTTGTTTTGGCTATAAGGAGTTAAGATTTGACATTGTACTTCCTAGTCTTATCCATTGGCTTCCTATTCTAACATAAGTTGACCTGTTTACACCTTGGTTGACAAACTGAAAGTTTTTATTTTTGTTTGTTTGTTTGTTTTGAGACGGAATCTCACTCTGTCACCCAGGCTGGAGTACAGTGGTGTGATCTTGGCTCACTACAACTGCCACCTCCCTGGTTCAAGCAATTCTCCTGCCTCACCCTCCCAAGTAGCTGGGATTACAAGTGTGTGCCACCATACCCGACTAATTTTTGTATTTTTAGTAGAGACAGGATTTCACCATGTTGGCGAAGCTGGTCTCAAACTCCTGAACTCAAAAGTGATCTACCCCCTTCTGCCTCCCAAAGTGTTGAGATTACAGGTGTGAGCTACTGTGCCCAGCCAAAAGTTCATATTTTAATAATTATGACTTGTCAATCAGAGTTTAGCAGATTACTTTAAGCAAACAAGTTAAAATGTACCGATTATTTGATACAAACTCTCAGCTATGTTTTACAAACATAATTGTACCTTTCTCTTGTGTTCCACTTAACTTCCTGGAAGAGTACAGAAGAGAGGAAGTAGGTGCATTTTCTTGAGAGCAGATGTTAGGAGAACAAGGAGAAAGAAGTCCTCCCTAAAATCTTAGAGCAAGATCGAAGTATTAATTTTATGTCTCTTTGTGTATCCCAGCCAAGCATAGGCAAGCTTTTCTTGAAGACTGATGGGGAAGAAGGTAGAGCATGGCCCTGAATTAGCATTCTTCAACCTCTCACCTCAGCAGAACCCTTGCTCAGTGGGTAAAGAGAAAGCACTACTTTTTTATAGATGGGGTCTCCCTCTGTCTCCTGGGCTGGAGTGCAATGGTGCCATCATAGCTCACTGTAGCCTCAAATGTCCTGGTTCAAGTGGTCCACCCACTTTAGCCTCCCAAGTTGCTAGGATTGCAGGTGTGTGCCACCATGCCCAGCTAATTTTTAAAATTTTTTGTAGAGACGGGTTCTTGCTTTGTTGCCCAGGCTTGTATCAAATACCTGGCCTCAAGGAATTCTCCCACATCAGTCTCCCAAGGCACTGGGATTACAGACTTGAGCCACCACGTCCAGCCGGCACTTCTTTTTTTTTTTTTTTTTTTTTTTTTTTCCTAGAACTTCTTGAGAGATGGGATCAAGGGGCTGCTGTAACAAAACAGTTCCCTGAAGAGAAGAAAGTACTATCTCAGTTGAAGATGCCTGATTGTAATTGCTTTTCTTCCACCTATTTCTTTTTTTTTTTCCACCTATTTCTTTCTTATACCATTGAGACCTTGGCCAGTATAATACCTCTTATCGTTAGCCCTGTCTCCTATCATTCTTGCCAGTGTCTTGATATTTCTAACCTACTAGTCTGTGTTTTAGTTAGGCTCATCATATGAATAACCATTCTTTTTTTTTTTTTTTTCACTGTTCAAGGTTTATTGGGGGTAATTTTAGTTGGTGTAACACTTGGATAGTTGGTTGCATTGTTTATATGTAGATCTTTTTACATTGTATGGTAATGTACACTACTGATGTATACAGTTCACAAAATAAGATCCTTTGGAACAAGACATGCGATATTGGATCTATACAGTGAATGCCAGGATGTGACTGACGGGGAAAAAATGTTGGACTAGGCATGTTCAGTGAAGGAGCCAGGAAGTTATATAACAAAGGAACATCTCTCTGGCTCAAGGGGCAACTGCAGCATGTGCAGCATTGGTAGTGGTGCCTCAGAGGTGGCAGAACTATTTCACGCTAACCAGTTTAGGACTACACAAGGTTACCACTATCTAGCATCAGAATATAGCTGTAGGACTTTACAAATCTTAAAGGTAGACACGGGATCTTAGTCCTTTGTATGAGGACTAGTATTAATATATTGGCAGTAATAGTAACAACCCAGGTCAGGTCCACAGTTCTTTATTTGCCATTTAGAAATCCTTTTTTTGTTGTTGTTCTTTTTTTTTCTTTTGAGACAGGTTCTTGCTCTGTTACTTAGGCTGAAGTGCAGTGGCATAGTCATGGCTCACTGCAGCCTCAAATGAGCCTCCAATGTCAGTCTCCCAAGTAGCTGGGATTATTACAGGCACATGCCACCATGCCCAGCTAATTTTTGTACTTTTTGTATAGACAGCGGTTCCCCATGTTGGCCAGGATGGTCTTGAACCCCTGGGCTCAGGCAGTCCACCACCTTGGCCTCCACAAGTGCCAGGATTACCGGCATGAGCCATTAAGCCCTGCATGCCATTCAGAAATCTAAACAACTCTGAAAGCTGAAGCTTTGTTTTCTTTTGCAGTAATGGTGCCACAACTCATTAGGGTACAAAATGTAACTGAACTGAAGCTATGTTTAGTCTTTATTACTTGCTGTAAATATTAATTGATTTCACAACAGAAATATTCTTTTTGAGTCAGGGTCTCAATCTTTCACCCAGGTTGCAGTACAGTGGTACAATCATGGCTCACTGCAGCCTCAACCTCCCAGGTTCAAGTGATCCCCCGACCTCACCCTGTGAGTAGTTGGGACTACAGGTGTGCGTCACCATGCCTGGCTTATTTTAAAAAACTTTTGTGGGCCGGGCGCGGTGGCTTACGCCTGTAATCCCAGCACTTTGGGAGGCCGAGGTAGGTGG